GGCGGGTTTGGGATGGCTCCAGAGGGGGAGACTCCCCCACCTCTCTGGGCAGCCTGTGCCACTGCTCTGCCGCCCTCACGGCAGAGAGGTCCCTCCTCATGTTTAGAGGGAACTCCCTATGCTCAAGTTTGTGCCCATAACCTCCTGTCCTGTCACTGGGCACCCCTGAAAAAAAGACTGTTCCCATCCCCCTGGCACCCTCCCTTGAAGGATTTATAAGCATTAATAAGATCCCCCCTCAGTCTTCTTTTCTCCAGACTAAAAAGTCCCTCAGCTTTTCCTCATAAGAGAGATGTTCTAATCCCCTCATCATCTCTGCAGCCCTTTCCTGTCTCTCTTGAACTGGGGAGCCCTGAACTGCACACAATACTCCAGATGTGGCCTCACCAGGGCAGAGTAGAGGGGAAGGATGACCTCCCTCGACCTGCTGGCCACACTCTTCTTGATGCACACGAGGAGGCCATTGGCCTTCTTGGCCGCCAGGGCACATTGGTGACTCATGGCCATCCTGTTGTCCACCAGGACTCCCAGGTCCCTCTCTGCAGAGCTGCTCTCCAGCAGGTCATCCCCCAACCTCTACTGATGCATGGGGTTATTCCTCCCCAGGTGCAGTACCCTACACTTGCCCTTGTTGAACTCATAAGGTTTCTCTCTGCCCAACTCTCCAGCCTGTCCAGGTCACGCTGTATGGCGGCACAGCCTTCTGGCGTGTCAGCCACCCCTCCTAGTTTTGTGTCATCAGCAAACTTGCTGATGGTACACTCCATCCCTTCATCCAGGTCGTTGATGAATATATTGAACAGGTCTGGACCCGGTACTGACCCCTGAGGGACACCACTCGTTACTGACCTCCAACCAGACTCTGTGCCACTAATGCACAATTCTTTTGGGGGGGGAGAGTTTGTCTCCACTCTGGTAATAAAATTGAAAAGGCATATCTTTAAACTTCCTTAATCTGTATTCAAGTGGCTTGAATAATTTATTTCCTTTTTAATTGCTTAAGTTGATGGCAAATGTTGGCTGCTCTAAATTTTAAGCCACGGTATTTAACCATGCAGTAGTGGCAAGGCCTTGGGTTCCATTTTTAAATATTCATTGATATTTGTATGTGATACAGGGTGCGTGTTTGTGGTTAGTACTGTTGGTTCTGAAACACAGGGGCAGCCCGAGCATCAGCATTCGCTGTAGTGCATGGGGGGAGCAACTGGTGTGAGAGAATCTCTGAAAGGGATAAAAGGAGTGAAGAAAAAGGCTTCTGGCTTCTTTTTTTGGTATTGCTGCCACGCACATTTAAGTAAAACAAGTTTGTAAATAGCAAGTTGAGTAAAAGGCTGTTGGTGGAGCTTTGAATCCAGTCTGTTCCCATCTGGTGTCGCATAGGTGGATGTTTGAGGCATGTAGCCCGTCTGCCACGTACTGCCTAGTACATTCTCCTGCCCATCGCTAGCCCAGAGACGTAAATATTCATGGTAAGCGTCCTGTGTAATCTCTGTGTGACTGAGCTGCTCCTGAAAGCCTCTGCTGCGGTGGCCGGGGAGGGAGCGTGGAGAAGAGGTTAATGGTCTGCGGGTGTGCAGTGGGCTCTCCTGCCACGTGTCTGACCTGGGGGTGATCCGCAACTCTGCGTGTTTGTGCCCATCGCTTCCACCGTCCGTCTCGGCCAAAATCAAATCAGGCTTCTGCTCACACGCACGTGTGCTCTCCGCCTTTACCTCCACTGCTCTTCACGAGCCTGAATTTTCCATGGACTCCTTTGCCGTAGGTGAGGGATGGTAACTAATTTAGGATGCTCTTCCCCGTCTCTGTTGTCTTTGCTCTGGACCAGTAGAGTGTATACCCAGCAACTCGGGACCTTGTGCACAGAAACCTGCATTCTTTTGGCAAAAAGAAATCCACTTCCCTCCTCCTAGCACGTGCCTGTGGTGGTATTGTGGATATTCCAAGTACCCAAGTGCGTGTAAGCCATCAACATGGATTTCTGTAGGTGTAAAAGGCTCTTCATGTAGTCAGTAGAGCAAGAAAGGATTTGGAGATGGATGTGTTCCATCTGGTGATGGCTCAAGCCAGGGTTCGTAGACCACCTGCACCAAAAATGTACAAGTAACTTCTCCATCCTCCTGTCCTTGCTGCTGATCATTACAGAAATGAAGATTTGCCACCCAAAAATCTTCCTCTCTTTCTGACGTATCATGGAAATCCAGGTCATCGGGGCAATGAAGAACAGTACAGTGTCAGAGTATGGGATGGGTCTTTGTGGTGGGTAAGCGGGCGGACGCTCTGCTGCTGGTGGTGGGATTGCAGCCAGCAGAGTTCCTGCTTGTCTTCAAAAACAGCAAATATGGGTCAGAAATCTTCTGGTAATATCTGTGTTTGAGAGACCTACTTGGATGTGCTTTAAAGGGGAAATTAGAAGTGTTGTAAATGAGGCAAAATTACATGAAAAGGGCCCCAAATTAGAAAGGAGAAGTTTGTAATAAATTCCTCCAGGATGTAGAGTCTAATGTGTAATTAGAGCACCATGAATTGCCTGTTACTGCTCGTTCTTTGTACTGGAAGACTCCGTGTCTGTAACTTCGGTAAACGTTTCAATCACGCGCAGTCACCAGGAGCCATCTCGGGCTGTATTTTAAATGTCTGTTTACACAGTTGTTACAAATTGCCTATGGGATGTGAACTGTCTATCACTTCCAGAGCAATTAGTGTGGGAAACCTTATCAAAAGAAATCCGTCAAGTTTGAAAAGCCATAAATATTGCACTAGGATCTCTAAGGAAATCAAAGTGAGTTTGAAAGAGTATTTATTTACATGTTGCTACACGAGGAAATGCACTTATAGATGCTCCAGTCTGTGTTATTCCCTGTGCTCTATATTCCATTAGTCCCGTGTTATTTGAGAGAGAGAGAGAGAATTATCCAGTTGTTTTAAATATTATATAGCAATAATGGACTGTTCCTAATACCTAATTCTTCATCATTTGGGCAGCTGTATTTTTCTGGACAATGATTTGTTGTGATGAAAGGAAGGCAGAGCTGTAACATCAGATCTTCATAATGTGCCTCAGTTTTATGTAGCCAAATTAATAGAGTTTGAAGATGGCTTTTGGGGAGATTTTTGATATTTGGTGCCCTAGAAATAGGGTGTCCTTTGATATGCTCTGTGTTGGGTTCCTCTGCATGGAGGAATCCCAGAGCATCACCATTCGGTGCTCTCTCTGATCAGACCTCTTTACTGTTGCCCAACTTTGTATTTGCCTTCTGCTCTCCTGGGACCTGCTTACCCAGGATTCCCAACCTAGCACCCCGCTCCGATGGCACAAATACTCAAGACTTTTAACTAACGCAGAGGCTAGGAGAAACCACTACAACGATGATAAGATTGGAAAGCCTGTCTTGAAAATGAAGTTAGAAGGGCTCTTGATGGCTCTCACCAGCGAAGAGGCAAGAACACTTTAAGCTGAAGGCATCATTAGCCCAGAAGCACAGAGCTATAGACTTGTAGTGGAAATATTTAACTTGGAAATTAGAGGGTTCTTGGCAATTAAATACCGATTTACAACAGAAAAGTAGGAACCAAAAACCTTGCTGCTTCTAGGGTCTCTTTCTGAATAGGACTTTGTAACCTTCTGGGGAAGGATAGGCTGGGAAGGGGTTTGTTGACCCAAAAAGACCCTCCCAGTTCTGTGTTTTTCTGAGGAACGAGTGGTCAATTCATCACTGCACAGTCAGTGCCAAATGCTGCCGTACTGCAGAGCTCGGGGGGGCTCTGGTGGAAACCTGCTGGGTGAAGATTCGCTCAAATTTAAATGTCTCTGTGCATTCCAGGGCAGTGATGTTTATTTGCCTATTGCTGGATGCTTCTGGAGGAACAAGATAATTGTTCACCGAGAGTAAATTTAAAAAAAAAAACAACTTAACTACTTGTGGAAAATAATAAGCCAGCTGAGAAGTGGTACCTTGTTTGCTCTGAGTATCCTCTTGACATCAGCATGAGGTTACTTATAATGAGATGCACATGTGTAAATATGATGATTAGATATTCCCACATAAACATAATTATCATATCTTCCTAAAAGTCTAAGCAGGCATTTTATAATCCTGTTGTTAAAAATAAATAAATAAAAGCCAACAATCTGCACTCAGCCTCTTATATATGTAAACAGTGGAACATGAGGGCAGAATATATTTGCCAAAGTACCTAATGGTAGTTGAGGTCAATTACAGTTATGACTCATTAGAGTATTAAACTAAGAATATGCTTTCTAGTATAATTAGTGTTCCCTTGGAAAACTACAGCAATCTTGTATTCAGTTTAGTTCTTCAAGCATTTTCAGGATGTTTGGGCATTAGTCTTCAGCAAATATAATAGGGTTATATTGTATTAACCTCACTTACAAACTCTGCAACCACTTGCGGCATCTCTCTCTCTCTCACTTTTATTGTTGCTCAAATAACTTCCAAAGATGTTTTATAAAACAGAGTGCTATCTAATTAGTCATATTGCAGATTACAGCTGCTTAATTCGGTGTTCAGTTTTTTGCTGATTCAGAAATTCCAAAGGAATAAAATGTACAGTGTGCAATAACATGTCTCGGCAGATCCTCCTCCAAACTGTCTTTAAAGGAAAAAAAAATAATAAGAAAGACAAAAAGTCCTGAGTTAGGCTGAAATGTTCATGACAAAAAAGATGAGATTCCTGTAAAATGCGTTATATTGTGGAGTGGAAGAACTTGAAGGAGCAACAAGAATATTAGATCCACGAGTAGGCTCAGAAGTGTCACAGCCGGAAATTTATATTTGTAGCCGTAAAGATGAGAACTTGCAAAATGTTACCCTTGATATCATTTCATGGGCTGGGATATATCCAATTTCCCTAACCAAAGCGGGCAGGGAGAAGAATAAACCAGGGCTTTAGCTCTGAGGTGGGATGGAGCCCGGCCTCAGCCTGTGCCCTGTGGGGCTGCGCAGCCTGTCACTAACCCTGCTGGTCCCTTCTGCTTCCAGAGCTCACCTACGCGTGGATCTTCAACGAGTACCCTACCTTCGTGCACCAGGACAACCGCCGCTTCGTTTCGCAGGAGACTGGGAATTTGTACATCGCCAAGGTGGAAGCTTCGGACGTGGGCAACTACACATGTGTGGTGACGAACACAGTGACCAACAGCAGGGTCCTGGGTCCCCCCACCCCACTCATCCTCCGGAACGACGGTAGGACTTTGAGGAGGGGAACTGGGGGCTGGGGTTACAGAGTTTGTTTTGTTTTCTTTGGCTGGTTGTTACCCAGAAATTCAGAAATGGCCTGAAATATTTATATCAGAGTAAAGGGAGAGATTCTCCCTCTTCACAGAGATTCGGTGAGGCTGGAGACCTCCGCTTCAGCCATGGTTCAAAGTCATAGACAGTCGTGGGGTTTACGATGCTGTGGCCAAGGTTGCCCTTCCCACCACTGGAACAACTCTCGGTATCAGGCAATAATTATAAAAGAAATACACTTGGTGACAGTCGGCCCAAGACAGGAAATAAAATAGATTTTAGAGTTTGGATACACTACAGTTTTGTGCTCATTTTACGCAGCCCAGAAGTGAACAAAAGCACTTTGTTGTTTCGGTAAGTGTTAGCTCAGGCTGTATTTCCCAGCAGAATTAGTGCTATTTTTAGTAGTCTGTGAAATAATACAAAAAAGCAAGAAGAGACCAAAGGAGGATTTCTAAATTTATACAGAGAATTGATTTGTATCATCGTCATTTTTTGGTGGATAAGAAAAATAAATTTGCATGTTAATTTGCAATTAAAATTAGTTAAAATTTGCCTCTTTAAAGGATAACAGTTAGGACGTTTGTTCCAGAAATAGAAATGCGTTATAAGAAACTTCTTCTAGAGGAAGATCCATTGTCACCTAGTGGCATTTGACAAAAACTCCTTGCCTGTAAAATCTGGGCTCGTTGCTGCCAGCCTCCTGCCCGTGGCCATCCCCTTCCCGTGAACACGGTTCCTGCGGACGGGAAGTTTGGAAACTTTGTGGGTGATGGGAAAGTGCGGCGGTTATGCTGGGAGTGGTGCAGACGGACACTTCTCCGGGTCTGTGCCAGATCTGCTCTCCCTTACGGGGGGGGGGGGCTGCGTTTCTGGAAACGCGGTGACAGTAAATCTGTCCCTCTGAGTCCAGAATAAGTGATCTATAATGTATGAGAGATAAAAAGGAATATTTCAATTTGTCTTGTATTAACATTTTCACTGTTGAAGAAGAAATACTTTCAAGTATTACATTAACAGGACTGTTATGCAGCCCTTACCTAGCTGAAAGTGCTCCCGTTTATCACAGTCGAGCTCGGTGGCTGTTTCCATCCCGTGGTGGAACGATTGCTGGGCGGCCCGACGGTAAAGCGCCTCGCCCAGGGCTTCACCCCAGCGCATCGCTCCTCCGCGCGCGCCGCTGTATTTACAGGGACCGATTGCCTTCCAGAGGTAATTCACAGGAACGCGCTGCGGTTCCTTTGAAGTGCACTCCGCTGTTTATGAAAGATATGAAACTTTAATTGAACCTCTGAGGGGCTGGGGAATAAGGTACTCCTGAGTTAAACAGGAAAGGTGCAGTTGTATCTGTAGAGCCAAAGGTGGCTGTACTTGAAAGTTGAACATGGGCTAAACGTGTATTTTAAAATAGGATTGCACTGGTATCACAGGCAAGCTTCATTTTAAAAATCAGCAAGTCTCAGTTTTTCATCCCATATGGGGTAACCCTATAAAATCCAAATAGAACTCGCTATCACACTTGAAAAGAGAAATTGTATGTGTTGCTTCACATGTGCGAACAACGCAAGTGACTAAAATGCGAGGCACAACGTATTTCCACTGGCAGAGTTGTCTTGTTTATCTTTTGTATTCATACCTAACATGTCCAGTAGATCTTAATATATATGACATGTTATTTTCCTTGCAACACTTTATCATTAGATTAGTAGGCTTGCAGGCTAGCTCATCAACAATTAATGTTTCCATTCCATTTAATTTCAATTAGTGAGTTAAGTGGGAAAAAATTCATAAAGTAGCCCTCCTGATTGATTTACACATCCTGAGCTGCCCCTCTGGCTGCGCGGGAGAAGGGACGGGGGGTCCCCCGGCAGCTCCCCAGTTCTGGGGGGGGTCAATGCAGCTCTGAGGCTACTCAGCCCTGGGCTGGAGGGCTGGTGTCCCACCCAGGGTAGTCTGACCTCCTCCAACGCATCCTTCATAAAATTGTTGCTAAAAGCTCTGAAAGTTCTTACCTGGTTGGTTTCATATTGATGTACTTCTTGTGAATTAAAAAAAAAAAAATAATAATAATCCAAGTGCTTTACAACAGTCTCCATGTGAAATTTCCGTTTTTCTCAAAAATCAAAGCTATTTTTAAACTGCAAAACTGCAGTTTTTGCTGCCATGCAGAATTAATTATGGGTCTCTGTAGTTGATAGATAGCCCCGTTACTTTGAAAGAAACAAACGGTGGAGGAAGATACTATCCAAAAGAAATACTGGTCGCGTAGAACTAAGAATAGCACCTGTATTTGGTTTTTTTTAATTATTTCACACAGAGCTAAAGAGAGAAAAAGAGAAGACTTTTTCCTTTTGTGCTGATGATAATCTCTCACTCAAAAACTTTAAAAATTCCCAATTCCGGAGCTGCAGGAAGATGACAGTTTGGATGCTCACAGTCTGGCTGACCCTATACTGTTTGATATCAAGAATTTGAATTGTTTTGACAGATGAGTGTATGGATTACACGGTGGGTATTCTTACTGGAGCCAATGTTCGAACTGCTCATCGAACTGCTGAGCACGGCTGGTTCCCCAGCGCATCCCGCGGCTGCAGGGCTGGATAAGCGGGACGGCACAGAGTCCCACAGAATCCCAGACTGGTGAGGGCTGGAAGGGCCGTCTGGAGCTCCCCCATCCCACCCCCCGCCAGAGCAGGGGCACCTCCAGCAGTGGCACAGGACGGCGTCCAGGCGGGGTTGGGATGGCTCCAGAGGGGGAGCCTCCCCCACCTCTCTGGGCAGCCTGTGCCACTGCTCTGCCGCCCTCACAGCAGAGAGGTCCCTCCTCATGTTTAGAGGGAACTCCCTATACTCAAGTTTGTGCCCATAACCTCCTGTCCTGTCACTGGGCACCAGTGCAAAAAGACTGTTCCCATCCCCCTGGCACCCTCCCTTGAAGGATTTATAAGCATTAATAAGATCCCCCCTCACGTGCCAGGCTGAAGACTCACCCGCCAGAACCCCGACATCTCTGTACACATTTCTGCTTCAATTTATGGCAGTAATTTTTCTAGACTTGGTCGTGAACCGTTTAGGCTTTTTACGCTGAATACCTGCCATCTTTGTCGTGGTTATTGTACTTGAATGTAATCATCCTGGAAGAACAGCTTTTCAGCGTGTTTTTTTCAGATGCTGCTTGCTTTACACTGCCGGGCTGTTGAGCTGTAATCTGCACCAGGAAAAGATACGGGCGTAGGGGATGAAATCAAATCCTGGAGGCAGATTGCTTTCCCCACCTGTGCCTTTTGTGCTTCTCTTTTGCTTGTTTTCAGCTGTGAGGCTCCGGAGTTAGAGAACTCCTGATGTTTTTTGCAGCAGCTTTTTGTAACCAGCAGTACATGCTCTTGTTGGCAGAACTCGGGTTCCTTCCCTGTCGCTGTGCTGTGGAAGCAGAAGGTGCCTCTTATCCCATTAGTTATCCCCAGACAGCTTTTCCTCCTTGGAGAGATAAATATCATAGAGGGTTACGGGACGGTGGTAGGAACAGACGGTGCCGAGGCAGCTGTCACGGTCACTGCGAGCTCAAACTCTGCTTCTGCGGACAGAGGTTATCTGATGATGATAAATAGTGTACAAAGTACAGTGTGCTCTGGGAAAAGGATGTTTTTCCTCTGTCCCTCTTAATTCCCTCTCACAAATCACCCCCTATTTAAGTATTTTCATGTAGCTGTATGGATTCGTGGCGGCAAGGATGCTTGCAGTGCAGGTGGAGAGAAGCTTTAAATGCAGTATTACGTGAGTGCGGCAGTCCCCAAAACTGCACATTTATGGTCTAGGACCTGTCCTTCTGAAATGTGCACCCGTATTCCAGCAGAGGTCTTCAGGAATGACAAGCGGCTCTCCCTTTCACAGTATGAAAGGAAAAAATAAAAGATTTTATGGTTTTCTGGATTTCCCAAGGTATTGAGGATGGGTTTCGACTTAGGTTCTGCAGGGACAGGAGTTACTCCTGACCATACCAGTTGGCACCAGTGGTGGAGAAAGGGCTCTCTGGGCTATTTTCATGCTGGGAAATAAAGTAAATAGCTAAACATATACGGCACCAAAGGTGTCCACTAGCATTGTAGCACTTACTGCAGCTGAGACAGAAAAAGGGTTTAAATTTGAATGGCTCTTTCCCAAACAAGCCGCCTGGCCGCTCGATGCGGGATGTGGGCTGGAAATGAGGGAGGCAAGGGAACCAACCTGCAGCAATCTCTCCTCCATTTAATAAACCAGTGTCCGTTGTCTGGCTGCCCTGTACCCTCGAGGCCACAGTTTCCTCACCGTGTCCCCTGGAAGGGCAGCGGGTACCCGGGGGTACCATCCCTGCTGCCACCGCCGCAACTTTGGGACCTTCTGAGACATCCCACCCGGCAGCAAACACCAGCCAAAGCCCGTTAGGAGCAGCCAGGTGTTCCCAGCCACCGCTCTTGCACTACTTTACTTCTTCTCTTTAAAATGCACTTTGGATTTTTTACATCAGAATTAAAACAGTAATAGTAGGAAAGAACTGAAATAGTCCTGGAATAAAATTACCATCAGCAGCAGCTGTATGGGCCAATTAAACTTTAACATTTCACAGGTGTTGTCAGGAAATGCGTATCATCTCCTCAGACAAATTAGCTTGCTTCTGAATTCCTGGGACTTTCATCCAAAAGCACGTTTTTAAGCCTTGAAATTGGAAGAAAAATACGAAAGCCTCTGAAATGCAAACATGCCGAGCATCTGATGTGCCATGACACTGGAAGCATTCTCTGAGCTACAAACCCGGCGTCTATTTTAGTCTTTTATTTTCTCCCCCATCCCTTCCACCTGCACAGCTAAGACAGGA